CCTACCAGGGGAAGATATTGCTGGAGAAGATTATGTCAGCAATTTACGTAGGAAAATGAGCGACATTTATAACCGAGTTCGTTTAAACATCCAGAGTGCCAGTGGTAGAATGAAAGAGGCATACGACATCAAGGCGGAAAATGGAGGATTTCAACCTGGAGACCTAGTTTGGTTATACAACCCTCAGCGCCGTCGTGGTTATTTACCGAAGCTGCAGACTTCTTGGGAGGGACCATACGAAGTCATGGATCGAATAAATGACATCATCTACAGGATCAGGAAACAACCAAGAGGAAAGCCGAAAGTGATCCATTTTAACCGATTGGCTCCTTACGCTGGACACAATGATGACCAAATAAACGACGCTAGAGTAAGGAGGGTTAATCCGCCGGAAGACGAGTTGCCTTTTGAAGACTTCATGTATTTTTATTCGAGCGGTAAAAAAGCTCCGTATGGTGTCACTCGAGAAGAACAAAAAGATCTGTTCACGGTTTCGGCCGATTACTCCTTGGCTCACTGTGTTGCGGACGACCTTAGGATGTCCAGGGGAATAGCGGTTGTGCTTGAAATTGTGGATAATGAGCAGATAGGCAATAGAAGTATCTTATATCTGGTAACGAAGCAGCTCTCCCATCAGAAGCCAAACTACCGTGACGTATGGAATGCCTTAAATAAATTGAGGGATGCCCTTTTATCCAAGGACATCATGAACCTGGCGATACCGAAGATTGCTTGTGGACTTGACGGTTTAGACTGGAGAATAATTAGAAGTATGGTGGAAGTTATCTTCAGATTTAGTGGCATACACAATCTTGTCTGTTGCCACAACCCTAAAAGAACAACCGGAAGAAAGACCGTAGACTGCTACTTCTATAGGACGTCACACTGCAAGTTTGGATCTCTATCCAAATATCGCCATGGAGCTGAGGACCATTTTCGGGACGAAAATGTTTTAAATGTTTTAAATGTAGCGAGTACCGCTCTGGATATAGAAGTGATGACTCATCGCCGATGAGTCATCGCCGGTGAGTCATCGCCGGTGACTCAGCACTCGAATAATTGAGAGTGTGGGGCTCGCTAGAATGTTCCAGAAGACGTAGGCGCTGAATATATAAGGAACGACGCATCATGGAGAGTTAGTTAAGCTTTGGTACTCGCGAAGAAATAAATAAATATAAGTGCAAATAAATAAACTAGTAGTGATATAAATAATTAGTAGTTAAGTGTTTAGTTAGTTTTATAGTGTTTTAAGTATAGTTAAGTTATTAAATAAATAGTTTAGTTCGTTAATTAACCAGTGCGTGTTTTAATTCACACTACGAACAGTTAAAAACGTTACAATATAAACTGCGCACCACTCAATGTGTCGCGACCAAAAAGTTCGTTCTTTTTCAAAACGACATAACTTTTTTGTTTCCTAAACAATTTTATTTTCGTCTGTGATGTCTGCTAGCCTCATCCTCTGGCAATTCATGCTATAGATATGAAGCTCACGGTTCGTCGAGTAAATTTCCTACAGGGTTATATGTTAAACGGTAAAAAATTTCAATAATTTCATCCCAGCCCCGTTTGTAAAAAAATAATTTTTTTCTCGTTTTTACTTTGAAATAATTCAGTATTATGTGTTACCTTGAAACGTTTTTCAAATTTTTCGAATTGGAATCTTAGCAACGAAAATATAATTTTTTTCCATCAGAGTACATTTAAGGCTTTTTTGTAGACAATACACTCAGTCTTTTTAGGAACAAGAAGATAAGATGGTGAGAGATTGTGCCTTAAATATTTCTGAACTAGCGACAAGCAACAAACTTCCATTATTTTTAGAGGGCCTAAGCTAAGATCACTTTTAGAAAATGACAATTTTGTGAAAATTTGCAAAAACTAAACCTAAACCGATATTTACGTTCGTAATATGTTTTCTTTATAATTTTGACTTTCTGATTGTGATTCAGTTGTCAAATTTAAGGTTTAGATAAAACCAAAATCACCAACAATCAAGATTCAAAAACAATTCCCGGCTGTTAAATGTCTCAATAAAATCCGTTTGCTGATTTTTACTGTTTGTCTACTGTGTTTTGCATCTTTAGTATGTTATTATCATGTCGCTGAATCATCAAATCGAGGATCAAATTATGAATATTAGTTCTTGAAAAACATTCAAAACGCATTATGAGGGATATTCTTGAATTTTTCAGTTTTTACAAATTTTGAAGTTTTTTTTGCATAAGTTGTACCTACCTACCTACATACCTATCCCTATCTTACCCAGGTTACTTCCATACTTCCTTTAAATGTTTAAAATGTCAATGCCAGACTTTTCTGCAGCTACGGGAATTAACATCTCCAAATCAATGGTTCAAAGAAGATTGCACAAAACGGGGGGAAAGGGTGGCTTTTGGAGGTGAAGGAGTGACTGGGGTGGAATGGCGAGAGATTTAGAGATTTGGTTGTTATTGATATCGTGGTCCCTTATACTCAAAATGTTGCCAATAATTGGTTGGTGGACGACAATGCCTGTCCGCACCGCGTCAATATCGTAAATGAGTATTTAAGGGACCACCATATTGAGAGAATGAATTGGCCACCTTTGTCTCCGAATATGAATCCTATTGAGCATGTGTAGAGCAGGATGAAACTGAAGATGAAAGAGAGGGAAGGACGCATGGAAAATTTGGATGAATTGGTAAATGCTATTCAGGAAGAATGGGATACCCTAGGAATTTCTAAGGAACTTGGTCGAGGAAATCCCGGAAGGGTTAACGAATAATTACGGGTTAGGGGAGGGCCAACGAAATATTAAAAGTTATTATTGTTATTGTTTGTTACATTTTTCTCTTGAATGTTGTAGTTTTGATTATGATTATATCTACACATAACATTTTCAAAAATGAACAAAAATATTTTTATTTAACTTTATTACCAATTACTTATGAATGATGTTATCACTACTGCGCAATGTAAATGTAAGTTATGTAACACAAATAAATTGCAAATTTCGCCCAAAAAATTAATCCCCAAATGGCATTTTAATCATAAATATGCAAGAAACACGCCAGCAATCGGATTTTATTAAGACATTAACAGCCGGGAATTGTTTTCGAATTTTGATTCTTGGTGATTTTGGTTTTATCTAAAACTTAAATTTGACAACTGAATCGCAATCAAAATTATAAAGAAAACATTTCACAACGTAAGTATCGGTTCAGGTTTAGTTTTCGCAAATTTTCACCAAAATGTCATTTTGAAATAGTGGTCTTTTCTTAGGCCCCTCTAAAAATAATGAAAGTTTGTTGCTTGTTTAGAATTATTCAAGGAACAATTTTTTACCATCTTATTTTCTTGTTCTTAAAAAGACTGAGTGTATTGCCTAGTAAAAAGCCTTAAATGTACTCTTTTTTAAAAAAAAAGTCATATTTTCGTTGCTAAGATTCCAATTCGAAAAATTTTAAAACCTTTTCAAGGTAAAAACGAGATAAAATATCTTTTTTTAAACGGGGCTTGGATGAAGTTATTGAAATTTTTCACCGTTTTATATATCACCCTGTAGGAAATTTACTTGAAGAACCGTGGGCTTATATCTATAGCATGAATTGCCAGAGGATGGTGTTAGCAGACATCACAGACCAAAATAAAATCGTTCAAGAAACAAAAAAGTTATGTCATTTTGAAAAATGACGAACTTTTTGGTCGCGACACATTGAGTGGTGCGCAGTTTATATTGAATCAACAGTTTTTGTGGTTAAATACATTCAATATTTTTTTGGATTTAAATTAATAGTTAATTTACATCCAAAAAAATATTAAATGTATTTAACCGCAAAACTGTTAATTCCATTGTTAACATATGTTTTCTTTCAATGTACGAATGTGGCGCAAAAATAAATATCCAAACATGTCGGTGAACCGATGGCATAAAAAATCATGTCGTGATTTTTTATGCCCAAACACCGATAGCATAAAAAAATCATGTAGTGATTTTTTATGACATCGGTGTTTGGACATTGAGAGAAAAAGTATACGGCCATTTCACGCGTAACAGATGGGACAGTTGCAAGTTTTTATTTACAAAATAACATTGTTCTATTATATTACTAATGTCAAATTTTTATAAATAGTTATAAATAAAAGCTGTTTAACAAGGTTTTTATTTATTTTTTAGGTATCGTGGTTGACTGTTTAATTCCTTAAAATTTAATTTTTTTATTCAAAAAGACTACTAGTACTGTTTTTGAATAAAAAAATTAGTTTTTAAGGAATTAAACAGACAACCACGATACCTAATTTTGCCAAATAAAAACCTTGTTAAACAACTTTTGTTTAGAACTATTTATAAAAATTTGACATTAGTAATATAATAGAACAATATTATTTTGTAAATAAAAACTTGCAACTGTCCCATCCGTTACGCGTGAAATGGCCGTATACTTTTTCTCTCAATGTCCAAACACCGATGTCATAAAAAATCACTGGAATATCTTTTTTAATTGAACCCGGACAACATTCGTGATATTCAAACAACGTTTTATAAATTATAACGGTGTAATGTGAATAAAAAACTAGGTTTTAAATTCGCAGTTCGTAGGGCTCATACGCATGCGCAAATTTTGCAAATATCACACCGTGAGTTCTACATGGTATCACTGTGATGAAGCATGTGTACTCAGGAAATCACAGCGTGATAAAAAAAATCACGTTGTGATATCATCATGACTTCACCAGGAAATCCCGATTGTTGGTCATTAATGCACAAATCATAAAAAAATTATATATATATTATTGCTTTATATTTTGTTTAGTCAGGTAAGTTTTATGAGAATACATTTGGTAAATTAAATTCATATTTTTAAAAAGCGATGATTAAATAAATTAATAAAATATTAAAAAAAAAATTAAATTTACCTGTATTTTCTTTCCGGAATAGATGCAATACTAGAATCAAGTGCTGTAATGCTAAGTAGATGCTTTAGTATTGTTTAATAATTTGATTTTTTTGGTTGTAGATATATCTGGTACTGCATCTATATCCGGAAAGAACTGCTGTGGTTGCTTCAATAAAACAAAAAGAGATTCAATTACTTTATTGGAAATGTATAAAAGAAAATGCAATAACCCATCAAAATGCGCCCAAAGAGCACCATTAGGTCCTCCTGGTACACTTTGTAAATGTACACCCCAAATAAATAGCCTTTTAAATCAGTCTGATTATGAGGTGGACAAAGAAAAGGTAAAAATTAAAAGCCGAAAAAAACATAAATGTCAGAATGCAAATTACACATTCGAAATAGCGGATGATGCCATAAGTTTAAATAATGAATCTGGCGATGATCGGTCTCCAAGTAGAAACTCTCCAACCAGTTTAAAATCACAAAAAGAATCAGATAATTCTTATATCAATGTTAATGGTAAAGAGGAACTTCCTTGCCCCGAACAGATCGGAAAATATTGCATATCGGATTTAGATTTATCAAAAAAAACACCGAATAAAAATAAAGAGAATATAGAGACTGATGCAAAGATATTGGATATTGATTCTGAATGTGATAAATTAAATAAAAATATAGATGGAAATTATAATAAACTAAGTATTAAAAATGTATATAGCTACTGCACATTACCTAAAAGCAAGAAAACAAATAATCAGAAAAATATAAAGTATTCAGGCCCACCCAAAAGAATTACTCCTGATGGTACACACATTTATTATTGGTGTGATGTTCAAAAAAAAGTAAATCATGGTAAGTTTACTATAAAAATTACTATATTATACTTCTAAAAATAGCAATTATTGATACGGTTTCATCAAGTCCATTGCTTTACATCAATCTATTCCTTAAGAAGGTCCTACATATCTACGAAATATATTCCCAGAAAGTTGTACATTCTATTTTTACATTACTGTGAAATAGGTGATTTATGTTTTAAAATTCTAAATATTTGCCTTTATTTCCATAACTTAGTCACAGTTGTTATAATGTGTGTTTAATGAAATTTGCAAATTATATAACAATAATATTTGCTCAATAATTGGTTGGTTAATTTTTAAACCACGGTCAATAATAATAAATTTTAAAATATAAATTTTATATTTAAGAACTTGATGATGGTGCCTACAATCCACTATGGACAATGCGAGGGTTTACGCAAACTTTTCATTTTTGGAAAGAAAATAAACGGGCACAATCCATTCCATTGAATGCATTTCTAACATACGTAACCCTACCATGGTGGAGTATAGCAAAAGGTAAATAAATTGTTCATTTAATTAAATTTTTGAATAATATGCTTTAAAAACTTTGTTATTATTACATATTTTTAATAATGTAGTTATTAGGTTTTATTAAATAAATAATAGTTTATAACATTATTAATGTATATATATATATATATACAGGGTGTTCCAACGAAAACTTGTACCCCCCCCAAACGTTTTATCGGATGAGTGTGGACAAAATTCCTTGGACACGTCAATTTTTATTTTTAGGGGGACGAATTTTGATGTATGTTTCACGCCCCCACCTGCACCCCTACACGCTCCACCCCGCCCGCCCCCTAAATTTTAAATTGTAAGGGGGGTTGAGTGATATATCATTTTAAAGGTCTTTTAATTCTTAATAAGGTTCTTTAATTTTTTTTAAATCTGTTAGTTAGTTTTGGAGAAATTGCTATTTGAAGTTTTAAATTTGGTAAAAAAAATAAAACAAAAAAACTGTAAATCAACGAATGTATTGTTCAAAGTGATTTCCTCCAACCTCCATGCAATAGTACAGACGTTGATTAAAATTATTTCTAACATTTTGAAATACGTCTGGCGTTAATAACCGGCATTCTCTAATAATTCTTTCCCTCAATTCCTGAAGTCTCTGGTGGAGTGGCATAAACTTTTGATTTCAAATGTCCCCACAAAAAAATCTAACGGTTTTAGATCAGGAGATCTAGGCGGCCACTCTATAGGACCCCTTCTTCCAATCCAACGTCCTGGAAAATGTCCAAAAATTGTCGTACCTCAAGAGTATAATGCGGAGGTGCGCCGTCCTGTTGAAATGTAATTTGATCTTCAAATAAATTATTATCATTTTCTAGAATTTCGGTAATCATTGGATCAATAAGATCTTCCAACATTTCTAGATAAATGTCTCCATTGAGGTTGCCGTCTATGAAAAATGGACCAACAAGATGGTCCCCTAAAATTCCGGCCCAAACATTTAACTTTTAGGGAACTTGGGTGTGGGTTTCATGGAGCAAATGTGGATTAGTATCGCTCCAATAGCGACAATTATGTCTATTCACTTGTCCATTTAACATAAAAGTGCACTCATCCGAAAAACATGTATTATACAAAAGATTAGGATTAATAATCAACTGCTCACTGAAATATTCGCAAAACTGTAACCTGCGATCAGGGTCATCTTCATTAATTTCTTGAACCAGCCGAATTTTGATGTGTTTATTATCCATTTGTACATGGCCCAACACAGCAACTTCTATAGCTTCATTTCTTACTGGACGGTTGCCTCACGTTTTTTGTTGTGGATGGAACCCGTAGTTTAAAACTTAGCTACTAATTGTTGAACGTATTGGTAACTTACGTTTTTTTCGGGATGATTATTATTAAAAATTCGTGCCGAGGCGTTTGCATAATCATTATTTCGATAATAGGTTGCAATAATTTCCGTTCTTTCTTCAATGGAGTATACAATTTTGAGAATACGTTGTAAGGTTCACAATGTTAAACTAAAAAGGTTCAGAAAGCTAAACTGATAACGACTTATTGAACAGAGCAATAGGCATTTACTAATTATTCTTGATAACTGCATTTAAATAAATCCATGTGGCGCGTGCGCGCGTAACGCGCATGGCAACCTCATAAAAAAATGTCATGCATGCATGTACTTTGAACATTTAAAAATTCAAATAGCATGTTCTCCAAAACTAACTAACAGATTTTAAAAAAATTACAGAACCTTATTAAGAATTAAAATACCTTTAAAATGATATATCACTCAACCCCCCTTAAAATTTAAAATTTAGGGGGCGGGCGGGGTGGAGCGTGTAGCGGTGCGGGTGGGAGCGTGAAACATACATCAAAATTCGTCCCCCTAAAAATAAAAATTGACGTGTCCAAGGAATTTTGTCCACACTCATCCGATAAAACGTTTGGGGGGGGGGTACAAGTTTTCGTTGGATCACCCTGTATATATATATATATATATATATATATAAACTGCTCCACAAGAGTTAAGGATATTGTATAATATACTGCAGTTTTAGTGATTTTTTACACTTTTCAAAGCTTTCAAACATACGAATTTTTGAATTAAAAAAAATAATCCTAGTATAGATTCTTTGGGAAATTTTATGCTCTACAAGAATCCGCGACGTAAAAAATTTTATCTCAAACGGTTCAAAAGTTATAGTCTTTTTAATGAAAAAAGATTTTTTTACGTGTTATTTCAATGGAAAACTTAGAATGCTCACCGACACCTTTTAAAATTGAGCAAAAAATTTTTCCTTGCAGGGAAATTTTTTGCTCGGTATGTAGGTTCATTTTAACCCATAAATCCGATAGATTAGTTTTTTTGGCTCACCCTACTATACAATGTAGGTATTAACATATTGTTTTGGAAAAACATATTTCTTTATTTTTTGAGAATTTTTTATTTTTTAAGAGTTTTTTGCTTTTATTTTTATTTTTAATGCAAAAAATATAGTTTTTGATATTTTTGTAAACTAAACGTTTTATTTTCCATAAAATAATTTACCGTTATTGGATATTTTGCAAGAATCACCAATATCCCTAACTCTTGTGGAGCAGTTTATATATATATATATATATGTGTATTTTTTATTTTTTTTTAGATATTTTGGACCACAGAGAAGGACCTATTTTAACGTTTTGAAGAATCAACATTATTAATATATATTTATATCAAAAGTAATTGTGCTACAGCATTTTATACTCATTATTGGTAGATTTAAATAAAAAATATGTTACAAGACATGTCTTTAATATTTGAAATTTTGTATCGCTAGATTGATTCTAATGAAAAAAAATCTGATATTATTTATGTATATAATTTCATAAAAAAATTATTATATACAAAATAGATTCAATAAAAATTATTTACCTAACATATTTTTAAATAATAAATTTCTCAACGTGTATAATAATTTTAATTTTTGATATTGTAACGATAGGAAACTCCACCATGTAACAATAGGGAACTCCACCATGTAACGATAGGAAACTCCACCTGTAGTAATTGGGACTGTGACGAATGGTGAAAAAGCCAAACTTACTTTATAACAGCTTTATTTTATCTGAGAATTGTACATGTATTACAAAAATGTGTGGTTTATTATATAGAAACTTAGAACGTATACGAGCTATGTGTTTAATAAATAATGCAAGATTGCAGTATATTTCTATTGAAATACATACCGTACCTTCATTTGCAAGTTATACATAGGGAAAATACATTGTAGGTGGCGCGGTCAGCGCGAAACGAAAATGTTCCCAGAAATTATTTTGACGAGTGGATGAGTAGACTAACATGCGACGTAACAGGTGACCTTGTTTACTGGCGATTAAAATTTTATTACGTCCAAATAATTTCTGAGAACTTTTTCGCTTTGCGCTGACTTCAACTTGTCTGGTCCACCTACAATGTATTTTCCCTATGTATAGCTTGCAAATGAAGGTGCGGTATACTGCGTCTGCAATAATCTAAAACTTCCTTTGCTCGGCTGTGGGAAAATAATTATTTGAATTAAATATAATTAAAATTTAAATAAATCAATAATATTTTCTTATTTCGTGACATATCCCTCGCCTACATGGTGTCATGTTCTAAATTTGTCAAGACGTAGTCCTAGAAACTAGTTTTGCCTTCAAATCCGCCATAATGAATAAATGATGCCCTCGCTTAATTCTTGGAAATATTCTTGGTTTTTGTGTTGTGTTATGTTGTATTGAAATGGTAAAGTGTCTAGTACCATTAGATTTTGTCGGGCTCCACATTAAAAGAAAAAGTAACAAATATTAGTAAGTAATAATTAAAACTAAAATAATATCTAAACTATGTTCAATTTAAAATTGCTTTGCCACAAAAAATGTTTTTATTTTTTAACATTTCTTTCATTTTGTTTTTCATGCTGTTAAACGTTTTTTGAACTTCTTCCTGGTATGTTTAAAATGTTCTTAATATATCTCCCAAGATTCTCAGTGTTTAATCTAATCCTTTATTGTAATTGTATTCTTTGTTTCAGGTCGCGTCCCTCCATTAGCAGGGTTTTGACTTTATTTTCTGTGGCTCCACAACACCAACTCAAGGCATCGCCAATAAAGTCGGGGGTCTTTTGTTAATTTTCTCGGTTCTTCATTAATCTTGAAGGATGCTTTTCTTAGGATGTCAAGCTTAAAATGTACAACTTAGGTATTTTTATATGGATTTATTTGGTTTCATTTTTATGTGAATCTTGAATTCCATTTTAAGATGTATATATATTTAAACGAAAATTGCTTATTAAACCATATAGATTCCCCTATATGATTAAATATGGATCTATATGGTAATAATTTTTTCATAACCAAACTATATTGGGCCAGATAGAGCTCCAATATGGTTCAATCTAAACCTATATGGCAATCCATATAGAAATCACTTTTCTATATGGTTTTCCATGTAAGGAATTATATCTGGTTCATTAGTGCAATGCCTGTTTCAAATTCATATATTGAACCAGATAGAACCATATAGATTTTTATTTTGTATTCCTATATGGCATTTTTAATAGGGAAACTAAAACAATTACGATTTTGGCCTCGGTTTTCTCTGCTGCAATCTAAATCAGCGCTCTTCCTCGCACCTACACTTGGCAAATACTTTTAGAGAAATAATTTTTAAATAAAAACAAAACAAAATAGGCAATTAAATAATAAATTTATTAATAAATTATACATTTACCCTGGTACCTACATGTTAAATTATTATGAGTATTTTTACCGCAATGGTAGGATTTAAATATCTCCCTCAATTTTTCCAAATTGGGACAATTAACCTGAGACTCTTTCACATTTAAAATCGTATTTAAAATAAATTTTTTGAGCCATTTTTTCTTTTGGCTTCCCTTGACTAGCACCGTTTCAAAGGGTGATGAATTTATATAGAATTTAAGAAAATCGGAAACTTTGTCCAATTCTATACAGTTTTTTCTTATCATCATCACTAAAGTCGTCTGCTGCTGCATTATTTCAGAATTTAAGGGTTGCGGCATTGGTTTCCTGGTTGTTGTTGTCATTTTGATTACCGTCCCACTCAATACCATGGATGTTATGCACGGTGTATAATATGTGAGCTCGTAATTTTGAGCTAAATAAATTAACATTGAATGGGAGTTGTACAAACCTATGTACATTGCAAATCCCTTGCTTTCGGTGTTAAGGATTGAAATATCCTTGAGCCAAAACGGAAACTCTTCTGAAGGATATTTAAAACCTTGGACAAGCCTTTTTCTTTTCTTTTACTGTAAAGGGTTTAGTAGTTTTTAGTTTTAAATCGTTTCAATTCCTGAACGCAACTTGAGTAGTTCCATTCCAACATGAGGTATTTATTGTCTGATGTGTTTTTTATTGTTGTAGGTGGTAGTTGTGTTGAATTACATAACCCCTGATAGCAAACTTTATTCTAAGAATTTTTTTAAACCTTCCAGTGAAAATATTCTTAAGATCATGCAGCTGCAGTTAAATGTGTCCGTCAATTTCTCAGTAGTATTAACTGTAATAATTAATGCAAGTTTACAATGTCACAATGAGAATTTACAATATTTATTAAATTAACCTCAATATTACTTAGTTAAGTAAAATCTCAGCTCTTTTAAAGCAGCATTAAAATTTATGCCTTCAATGCAAAAACTATTTACTTTTACAGACAGTCCCGAAAATTACAAGAGCCCGTAATACTGCTGGAAGAACTCATTAAATTCGCTACTTAAATTACTGTGAAATCACAGATACCTGTAAAACCGAGCACGATGCGGGCACGCCCAAACCACGCTTCTTTAGCCGCCGTTTAAGTCGTGTTAGGTATCGTGTACGTTTTGAGTGGTTGTGAGTTGTGTTTTAAAGGATATTATTTAATAATTATTAAGGATAATATTTGACTATAATTTTTGTAAGGGTAAGTACGACAATTTATCATTTAAAGTAAAATAGAACCTGTGTATTAATCCATCTCAATAGACAACAAGAATAATTAGGTAGGTATGTTTCGTTGTACTTTTTGTGGGCATTCGTTTAACTTAATAAAGAAATACAATGTGCACTTATACCTTCATAGATATAGTACTAATAAAAAAACATTTAATTGTTTGCATAGTAATTGCTTTTTTAAGTTTAAATCGTTTTCAGGTTTTAAAATGCACATTTTTAGATTTCATTCTGAAAATCCGGTAAAAATTGGTCAAAATAAGAACAATGTTAATATTTTAACTTTTAAGTGCAATTATACTGCTGATTGCTTTCAAAATCAGAATTTTAAATTATTTAAAATTCATATTTACAACCATATACGAAAATCCGAATATTTAAAATGCCCCTTCATTAATATTTGTAAATGTAAATCCATTTTTACAGAACTGCAAGTTTTAAGAACTCATTTTTTTAGAAACCATCCTGCAAATTCATTTTATGCAAAAAACCCTCGACAAAATCCTAATATTTCTAATATCGATAAAAATCATGCTCATAGTATTTTTAATGATACAGAAGATGATGACGATTATAGTGATGAAATAAACAATGTTTCCTTGGATAATTCAGTAATTAGTTGTAACAATCTGGAAGAACTAGGATTAAAATTACTCTCCCATTTATATCTAACATTGGAGTCTAAATTTTTTGTATCAAAAGTTGCCCTACAAACTTTAATCACTTCTTTAGGTGATCTAAATGATTTAAATTCTAAATTTTCAAAAACTAAATTGGCAGAATTTGGTTTTGAAGTTGAAGAGGCTCAGCTAAAAAAAGACATATTTTTTAAAGCAAATAATAAGAACAGAGGTTTACTAAAATCAAATATCAGCAGAGAAAAATTCTATAAAGAAATTTTTTTTAGAAAATAATAATACAGCATCCTTTTCCTATTACATTCCAATATTAGAAACGATCAAAACGTTCCTAAAAAACCCAAAAATTTTGGAACAATGTTTATTAGACCATTCATCAAAAGATCAAGATTTGTTATGCGACATAGTTGATGGCAAATGTTGTAGGGCACACAATTTTTGGAAAGAAAATAAAAATGCTCTAAAAATTATATTGTATCAAGACGCGTTTGAAGTTTGTAACCCTTTGGCCTCGCTCGAAAAAAACATAAGATTCTAGGTATATATATGACTCTGGCTAATTTTAATCCATGGCAGCGATCAAAAGTAGATCAAATTCAACTGGTTGCGTTATGCTATGAAAAAGATATAAAAACTTTTGAAAAAATTTAAAAAAAAATAATAGATGACATAAAGATCTTGGAAACCACCGGATTATCTATTAATGACCAAATTAACCTAAAGGGATCTTTATTGGCAGTGGTTGGAGATAATTTGGGAAGTCACCAAATAGGCGGTTATCTGGAAACTTTTAGTACGAATAATTATTTTTGTTGAGTTTGTTATAAGAACGATGCCTTGTTCAGTGATACAGAAAAGTTTGTTTATCGAACTGCTCGGTCATATTCTCATGATGTTGACTTTGTATTATCTACAGGGGATTTTTACAGAGGTGTAAAGTCTAATTCAGTTCTAAATGGTTTAAATTATTTTCATGTATGCAACCCTGGGTTACCACCATACCTTGCTCACGATTTGTTTGAAGGCGTGGTACAATATGATCTAATTCTAATTTTAAATAAACTGGTAAATGACAAAATTATAACGATATTAATGAAAATTTAAAAAAATTAAGTTTTACAAGGGATATAACAAAATTAATATACCAGATTTAAAAAAATGCGAAAAACTGATTGCGGCTTGCAAAATATGTTTTTGTTAAATATTTTTCCTTTTATAGTCTTTTCTAAAATTCCTGGTTTATCAAACAACAAATATTCGAAGATGTTATTAATTTTAAGACGGATCTGCACCCTTACAATGAGCCTGAAAATAACTTTGGATTCAATTGCAATATTGGGTTCTTTGATAAAAAAATACATTCAATATAGAACAGACTTATTCAAAAATTGCCCATTAAAACCAAAGCATCATTATTTGCTACATTATGTTTATTAGTTCCTTAATTTTGGCCCACTTAGACAACTTTGGACTTTAAGATTTTAATCTAAACATAGTTATTTTAAAAATTGTGTTAGACACTCACATAACTTTAAGAATTTGTTATATTCATTAACTAAAAAACATCAGTTACTGCAGTGCCTTAATGATTTTCAGGAAGACTGGTTTAGTGAGGGGGTAACAGTAAAGGATGCTAAAATTTATTTGGACCCCACAGATAATAATCAATCCATAAAATATAAGTCGAGTGAAATTATTTATACTGGCATTTTGTATAGTGTTTGTAGTGGCCGGCAAAAATGATTATAGTATTTTTAAGATGCAAAATTAAAGAAATAATACTGGATAAGACTTTAAGTAAAATAATGTTTAAGGGGCATGAATTAACGATAACATATCCGGGTTCTATTTTGATACTGGTCTTAAAAGTGATGATCTCGCTGATGACAATTTAGTATTGGAATACAAAGAGCTGCTAAGCGTGGAGCCGCTTATACACTCAAAAATTAATATTTAGGATCTATTTTACTTTAAATCAGCTCCAGTAGAATTTTCTTAAAACATGTGCACAGAGTTTTAGTTATGTGTTGACAATGAACTACCTAAGTCTGACGTCACATTATCATGAAACCCCTTGACAATTATGTGCAAAATTCCTTAACAGAATTTTAAATTTATGTTTATTTTTAATTTAGTTTTAAATATGGGATATAATAATAATATTATAATTAATATATTTTTGCAAAAATCCTTAAAAACATAAAAAAATTCTAAAAACACGTGCTTTTTATCCAAATATTGGCACATTATCCTTTAATTACAACGAAATTAGAAATAAACAATAATTTAAAATTCTCTTATGGGGATTTTGCACGTAATTTTATAGAAACACACGTGTGTTTAAAAATATTTGCTAAGGCTGTTGACGTCATGCCGCCATTTTAAATACCAGTAATGTCATTTTACTTTCAAAAAGTAGTATTTTTATTACTCAATTACCCAAGTATTTGTATATAACTTTCACTATTCTTAAAACCATTAATCAATTCCTTTTTTCTGGATTCTTGAATAAAACTCGATGTTACCAAGTTTGTTTTTAATATTGCCTGACTATTTATTAAGACATTTAAAATCTAGAAATACTTTCTTGAAGCAACTTTTTCTGCTCTACAAAACGACGTACTTATTTAAAAATATTTGTGGCAGTCATATTGGATCTGAGCATTTTTAATAGCAATTTTAATACCCATGCGCGCAACCTAATAGCATTATCATAATTTGATGTATAAATCGCAGTAAAATGCAAGCACCCACCTATTTTTTACCGTGTCCAAAATCCCCATGCACCCTCAAATTTAAATCACCCGTATTAAATGCTCTTTTAGGTGCTGCTTTATTATGGGACAAATATTCAAGGTTTGGTCCTGCAACAGGGACAAAAAGTGTTCTTTAGTTCTACAACAAAACGAAAATTTGGTAGATGATCTGATTTTAAAAGGTATGTTTTTTGGTAGTGAAAAAATAAACTGATTTTTTACATATTTTTAATTTTTTAGCATCTGTCAAATTAAAACTTAATGGTAGCACTGTTGTGCTAGAGAGTGACGGAACTGAAATAAATGACAATGAAGTGCTAGTAGAATTAAAAAATGAAACACTTGTTATCCTTCAGCCAGGTGAACAGTGGTGGCCAATTAGGGAAGATTTTACTTCGGTTAGTAATAAAAGTATTACCAGTACGGATGGCTCAACCATTACAATGACAAGCGACATGAATTTGGACTTTCAGGAAACTTTAGTTAAAGTTGTTGAAGATACTACACTTACTAGTCCCACTACTTCTGAATTTATTTGCGAAACAAATCAAGTTCCCACGGAATCCAACATTATATTTGTTCAGGTTCCCCAAAGCGACCCGATAAGTAATAATAAGGAAAATGTTATTACTGAGTACACTTGGCAACTTTTCGATATCCCCTGGTCAAAAATACCACAGTTTATGTTAACGCAATGCGAAAATGGTAGCGGAGGAAAAGCCCTAAGAAAAGAAATTATTCATATAGTAGTAAACGATTTGCGTAATATAAAAACACATATTCCAAACAAAGCGTTTAGAGAAGTAGCAAGAAAAATGGCTAGCAAGTACCCCAAATTATTTTTGGACACTGATGAAGATGGTAATGTTTTGGGTGGTGGAATTTCTACATTGGTAAGCCAACTACAAGATCGAAATTGGTATCTGAATAGAGGTAGCAAAAGAGTGGGTGACTATATTAAGCCCTGCAAAATAATTAAAAGAATTAAATAATCGAAAAGCTGGGTGCTCTGCTTTGAACTGAAAACCATTAGTAGAAAGTGATGTTAGTGATTCAAAGATAATCATCAACAGTATTGGTTCTGATCATTCCAAGTTTATAGATTTGTTAGAAGAAACATACGCTACACAAAGAGATTTTCTAACTAATACTAATCCGCCTACAATTGCTGATATAAGAAAAGAATGGGCTGTGCTTTTTACTAAGGAAGCTATATTTTGGCATTTTCAAAAGCTGACCCAAAAAAGTCTACCGACAAATGAAGCTAAATACAAGAAAATTGTTGCTTTTGGTAAGGAAAAGAAGTTTACTGTTTTTGACGAACATCAGGATGAAATCATGCTGCAGGCTCTGAAAATACTGGCACATTACTTTAAGGAAGATTTTAGTGCATTTTATTATCAATTTGATGTAAGTTTAAAGGCTTTTATTTTTTTATTGTCGCCTCACTGTCACTCTTTCTTTCTCCTTAAAACTTTTTAAGTACATTTAACCTTTAAAAACAAGTTAAATGCTTGATGTTAGTATTTTCTTATGCATTCATATGCATTCATATATTTTTAATTGCCAAAAATTCAACAGCAAAAAATTGAGCTTTAAGGTGTTTAGCGTATACGCTATAGTTTTGATTTAACTTAAGAGTTATTTAACAAGTAAAAAATGGGTAGTTTACGGTTTTTCTATTTTCAGAATATTATTCCTGACAGTCAAGAAATATGGAATCGTATAAAGGTGATGGAACCAATTTTATAACAGTTTGGTGAGTTCAGTATATGTCTTAATCTTAATAAGGAAAAAATTAAAGTGACCACCTAATGGTCTTTTCGAACTTTCAAATAAATTTAACTGGTTTTAAAAAAAAAATCTTACGTTAGTTGCTATAAGTTATTTTATGCTTTTTTAATCTACAACACAAAATTGTCTTAAAAAATCCGATTATTTAATTAATTTAAAAAATATATATTTTAAATTTAATAAAAAATATTATTTTGAATAGGGATGCCAAAAAGTTTTTGATAAGTATAAGTACCCATTCAATGGTTTCTTTTTGTTGGATTGTTTATCTTTTAATGTTTTTAGTTAGATTTGCTACTGTTATGTAACACAATACAACAATTTTCAGATTTAAACGGAGAGAAAATATACTATGTGGCAATTGAAAAACAATTTGTGGATACAAATAAAAGCTACTCGTCCTTTTGCGATGCATTCCTTGTATGTTTCGCTTTGTATTATAACTTTGGAGTTAAGTTCCCTAAGGATGTAAGCACCACCTTGGAAATGGTACAGAGGTGTGTTCTGAACGATCATCCGGATTCTGGGACAAAATCAAAAAAAGTGTCAGCATCCAAAAAGAAAGTTATTTCGTTGATAAAAAAGTTAAAAGATATGGGATTATAAGTTCGTTACAATTTAATAGGATAAATTTGCTTTTCCTATTTTCCTGACTTGCTTTTTCTATATATGGTTATGACTTTTTATTCGAAATGTTTTTTTATTTATTTTTGTTGAGAAGTCGTCATGCAATGGCTTAACTTATGTTATTTTTATATTTAAGAATATTCTTTTTTTTTGGCAACATTGTTTGCTCTAACATGCATTTATTTATACATGTATTTTATATTTGGATAGGTAATTGTAAAACATTTATATTTTGTATTTTTTATAAAACCTTTCACTGACTTTTGTTTTTTGTTATTTTCGTTGTGCAGGGTGGGTTTCGTTGATTTTATAGGGTGCAGGCTTAATTGTAATAGATACAAAGCTCAAAAAATATGTAAATATACGTATATTGGTTTTTCTATATCTATCCATTTATTTTTTTATAGTTTACAAGTCACCCAAGAAACTCTCTTATAAAGAAACCTGTATAAAAACATTTACCTCAGTCTTTCCAAGGCAGATATTCTTAACGAATATCAATAGGTCTTAGGTAAACCTTGTTGAATAATTATTGAAATTTAAAGTAGGAATTAATGTAAGGATTTAACTGCAGCTCACAAAGTAAACACAATAAGGGGCCCATATTGTTTTTCCTGCATGTAAGCATGTTAAATATACATCTTTTATTTTACTTTAAACTAGTACAAACCTGTTATGTTCAAAGAAATGTAATAAAATATATATTTATTTTCTATAAAACGTGTTTTAATGTGGATTATTCCAGATCTCCAAATATTTATTAATATTTTGGTGACTTTTAAATGTCTAATGTAAAAACACAATCAAATTACTGCAGATTTAATAGTAAGTAAACATAAAAATTTAAGGAAAATCAAGGCATAAACACAATTATTTTTCGTTGCGCTTAAAAAAGTCAGCATATAAAACCGTAGTTTGAACCAAAATATTTGCTGTATATTTACTGATTATAGCATTAAAATTACCATAATTTAAGCTGTAAAATAAAAAAAATTATTTAAAAACACTTGAAAATTACAGCAGGTTTAGCAGTAAAAATGAATAAAAGTTCAAGTAACATTAGAGCAAAAACACTGTAATTTCTAGTGGTGAAATATAAATACAGCAAATATACCAGTAATTTTAACCTAAAACGGCGGAAAATTCACAGGGATTTTACAGGCAAAATCGTTATATTTGCATTAAAACCATTGTAAAAATACAATACTACAGTAAATTTACAGTAATATTGGTTTAAAATTACCATAATTATAGATAAAATTTTACAAAAGATAGCAGTAAAATTACCAAAATAAAAATTCACTTTTTTACAGATGACACTAAATTTAGATAGATTTAAATTTACCACTTTCTTTGCTGGTAACATATGACCTACTTTATTTGCTGTAAAATTACCATATTTATATTTACAGTGAGCATGATTCATTCTATATTTCTTCTATTGAACATGCTTTAAAGAAATATAGCATGATCCTAAGAATATTCTTACTGGCCTATAGGCAGGTTCTTAGAAGGTGCCAAGTTTTAAGCTGGATTTATAGTTTTAAAGGTAACGGTAGAGGCAGCGGTAAAGGTAGCGGTAGAGGTAGCGGTAGCTGAGTTCGGCATTGATTATTATATGAAACAATTTATAGTTGGCAGTTTCGCCTTGTAAGTTTAGTTTTTATACGAGGGGCAACCAGACTTGATAAATTGTCAAAAATGGGCACCGTCGTTTGTGTATTTAAAGAACTGTTTTTTATTAGTCAGTTTTATTTTTTTTTAATACTGGATATGGCTTTTCTTAGCACGTTTCTGATTTAATTCCCTCGTTTTATAGCGACGTACTTGACGACCCCCATAACGTACTATGGACCAATCCTTAAAGGCCCACCTCGAAATGCGGTTCTCTCTCGGCATTTTTTAGACCACAACCTAAAAAATATACCTGACAAATCACAGCGCTGGACAGAAAGACGCGTGTATCTTTCTTATATTGTTATGTTATCTATAAATTTAGTCATTTTAAAGGTAATTACATTGGTTTTATTATTTCTCTTTAATAGAGAATTTGTGGGGCTATATGGTTCGAGAATGGCCTGAAGAACTGTAATTATTTTTGTCTTAATTTAGGACAAATAAATTTCCTTTGGTTTTGTTTTATTTATTTACTCTAACATTATTTTTTTCGTCATTTTTTGAATAATATAAACCCCACATTGTTCGTTTAAAATAAAATAAAAATATTATAATTTTATCATATTCTTTATAAAAGTTTTAAAATAAACATATTAAATAATTTTATTTATTTTAATAGTTATTAGATTAACTATATTTAATATAAACTGCTCGTCATAAAAATCGACGCACCTAGTTTCTTGGAAAATATTTGAAAGCTCGTTATTGGAAAATTACTAAATCGATTTTGAAAATCTTTGGAAATTCTTAATAGCTGATTCTTTGACTCTTCAAATTTTGTGAATACGATATTTTGCACATAGCATTATACTACAGGGTGTTAAACGAAGAGAAACGAAATTTCAAGTTATTGCCATTCATGAGGCAGTTGAGTTTGATAGTCGTAATACCCCTACCTAATATTAGTAAGGTAATCCCTCGAAACTTTTTCGAGATTTTGTGAATATCGCGGCTTACTACGATCATATGCCAATTTATCGAAAATTGTCGTTATTTCCCAGTTTAGTCCAAAAAATGAGCAATAGTGGATTCTTTGACTTACGTCTAATTTTGAGAATAAAATATTGTGCACATAGCATTATACTACAGGGTGTTGAAAAAAGATGTTTTTTTCCAAAATTCAAAATCCCCATTCACAGGGCAGTTGAGCTTGATAGTCCTAATACTCCTCCCTAATAATAGTTAGGTATCCCTCGGGACATTTTCGAGATTTAATGGATATCTTGGCTAACCACGATTGTACGGCAATTTTTCTTACATTCACGTTATTCTTCATTTTAGTCCAAAAAATCAGCAATAGTTGATTTTTTTACTCTTATGTCTAATTTTGGGAATACAATATTGTGCACATAGCATGATACTACAGGGTGTTAAAAAAGAGATGTTTTTTTCCAAAATTCCAAATCCCCATTCATAGGGCAGTTGAGCTTGATATTCCTAATACTCCTTCCTAATAACAGTTAGGTAATCCCTCGGTACATTTTCGAGATTTTGTGGATATCTTGGATAACTACGATTATATGGCAGTTTTTCGAAAATTCACGTTATTCTTCATGTAAGTCCCAAAAATGAGCAAACTACGAAAGGTATCGATTAGTTTCCCCAATTTGCATGTTCTTGTGCCCATCTTCTTCTAGCAGAAAAAGAGGGCAGGCAGCTCTTCGTCTTGCGTGGTATGCAATCTTACATCCGTCATTTTATTTTTTTAAATGTGATTTGCTGTTTGAGAACTACGGAAGGTATCAACACAGCGTTTTAAGATAGGTCACTTGCTTCCAGTTTCTGTACGTTGCGTGATTCATTAAAAGTGAAATGTTTCACACAAAACCAATTTTTTTCGGTTAAATTCAATATAAAAACGCAAACCAAACAAAATTATTCTCGTAAACTTATGCAGGCTATATTCATGCAATTTTCTACAAACGGTTGACTATGAAAGTTTAAAAAATATGGCGCATATCTGGTTTGGAGCTTCCTTCCTTCAATTATTTTTGTCGTCCCATATGAAAACATTTTTCAAGCAGCAAATCACATTTAAAAAATAAAATGACGGATGTAAGATTGCATACCACGCAAGACGAAGAGCTGCCTGCCCTCTTTTTCTGCTAAAAGAAGATGGGCACAAGAACATGCAAATTGGGGAAACTATGTGTTGATAACTAATCGATACCTTTCGTAGTTTGCTCATTTTTGGGAATTAAGTGGAGAATAACGACAATTTTCGAAAAATTGCTATATAATCGTAGTTCGCCAAGATATCCACAAAATCTTGAAAACGTCCCGAGGGATTACCTAACTGTTATTAGGAAGGGTATTAGGACTATCAAGCTCAACTGCCCTGTGAATGGGGATTTGGAATTTTGGAAAAAAACATCTCTTTTTTTAACACCCTGTAGTATAATGCTATGTGCACAATATCTTATTCTCAAAATTAGACGTAAGTCAAAGAATCCACTATTGCCCATTTTTTGGACTAAACTGGGAAATAACGACAATTTTCGATAAATTGGCATATAATCGTAGTAAGCCGCGATATTCACAAAATCTCGAAAATGTTCCGAGGGATTACCTTACTTATATTAGGGAGGGTTATTACGACTATCAAACTCAACTGCCTCATGAATGGGAATAACTTGAAATTTCGGAAAAAATACATCTCTTCGTTTAACACCCTGTAGTATAATGCTATGTGCAAAATATCGTATTCCCAAAATTTGACATAAGAGTCAAAAAATCAGCTATTCAGAATTTCCAAATATTTTTAAAATCGATTCAGTAATTTTTCAATAACGAGCTTTCAAATATTTTCCAAAAAACTAGGTGCGTCGATTTTTATGACGAGCAGTTTATATTAAATTTTAATACAGTTTGTTAATCCATTCTCATTAGTATAGTATACGTTATTAATGAAGATATTTGCCCCGTTTTATAAGCACACTGAAGTTTGGTATTGTATAAAGTTTTTTTCCTATAAAATACCAAACTTGCGTTTAACCATATGAAATACAATAAGTTAAAATTTTAAACTAATAAGTTTGTTTATTTCTAGTGGTTACAAACACGCTTTAACGCTTAAATCCGCCAAAATTTGTATCAAAGAATTATATTAAACTAGTACCTGACCGTTTTTTTAAGCTCCGCCCAGATCTAAAAATAAAACTATGCATCTCTTTCTGTTGCCGGTTTACTGGGCCTTTAAGGTTTGGATGATAGTACATGAAACCCTGCAATTATTATTATTATATAATATTTTGCACAACGCCATATGGCCCAGAAGCACAGCATTGTCCTCGCAATTCATGTTTTCGTAGAAAACTTAACCTTTTGCTGTCATATTTTACAAACAAAATTACAATCTGCATTAAAGTACGCATGCGCCA